ACTTTGCACACTCCAACAGGATCACTAAGGGTCTGTTGATCAGAGTCTCCTGGTTGTCCCACGGTTCAGATTAAAGCATAATGGAGAAGTGGCCTTTACAGCAGCTGCAACTTACTGCTTCACATCAGGACCTCACTAACACTTGACATTTTCACAACCTGTTTGAAAACCGAGTCTTATTCTTCGGCTTTTAAAACCAGTTGGAGTTTTGATATTTGCTTTAACTTGTGTTGTTTTACAGTTTGATTGTTTGTTTTTTTTTGACGGTTATTCATGTATTTGTATTGCACTTTGGGTGGAAGTCCCCTGACCTGACCTGACCTGACCTGACCTGACCTGCCTTGATTTGACAACACATACATACCTAAAAGATGCAGCATATTACCTATGGCTGACGCTTGATTTTCTTCTAAGGTGCAAATTCTCTTGCACACTACTGTTCCACATGTGGTGTCTGACACACTACCCCCAATAGGCTGATTCTTTTTGGCTTCGTATCCTCTCACAGACGTCTGAGATATTCTACTTGCTTGAATAAACTTTTTTATATATCAATAAGACGGTATCAGTGGAGAATTTCTTCAGCATCTTCACATCATTGCTACACAATAAACAACACACGTCATGACATATTGTTTTAATTTAGGACATCACACTTTTGGATCTTGCTAGTACAACATCAGGACCTATACAAACTACACCCACAGTCCAAAAGCTTTTTGGTTACTGCAAGATACTCACAAGACAAAGAGTGCTGACCATCACTCATCATAAGCCGGAACCTGGGTGGACCTGCGGCATTCTTGATCTTCCTGATGTTCTGACAAACAAAGAGGGAAGGAAGGATTTCATAAGAAAAAACAAAAAAATCTTATCATGAAGACACATTAATATAATAAACTGACCCACTCTGTGTAAACTGGACAGTCATCAACTGTTATTGTAGGAGACATACAGGTTGAAAATGAGGAGCACGGTGGGCTTGAGTGTGTGTGTGTGTGTTGCAGAGGCGGTGGTTCACGTGGGAGTAGGTGTGTACGCGTGCAGAAGTGTGTGTGCATAAAGGTGTGCACTCACCTGTGACACAGAGGAGAGAGTCAGGGTTAGGTAGTAGCCGTAATGTTTGTTGACCGCTACCCACTCATTCACTCATCTCTTTTTTATCTATTTAATCCGCTGGTTTTCATTTTTCCATTTATCCATCTTTGCTGCGCTGTGATAGCTCTGTGCTGTTTGTCATAATAAATGCACCAAAAGCATCTTTTGATCTCAGCGTATCTGTTATCATAGCCTCCTAGCGCGTCACAAATCTGCGAATCTGAGGACCCAACCTCATACTCTCAGCAGCTGAAAGGTTTGTTTTGGACGCAGCAACAGTTATTAAAAAAACAAACAAACATGTAAGTGCATTGCAATTATTCAAATTCTGAAGCCGATATTAGATTTTCTTTTTTGTCATTTTGTCGTTTCTTAAATTTAGGGTGACAGTACGGACAAAGACAAGAAATGTGGAGGAAGAGAGGGGCACGGCAAACACTAATAGTTTTAGTACAGGAAAGGGCTGCACAACATATTGTTTCAGCACCAACACTGCAAATTACACATGTGCAATAAAGAAAGACAAATTAACTCAAACACATCCAGCTACAACCTTTTTTTTGTTGTTTGACACACAAGAAAACTTGCATGGCTCTCATTTTCCATGACTAATCCACAACAGGAGTCTTTTCTAACTAATATTTAAGGGCTCTTGGCATGAAAAAACCCAAAACAAAACATTATTACCAAGACTCATCTTATTGACAAGCAGGCTCCACACATGCACAGTTGCATGGAAATATTTTTGGCTACAGAAAGGATGACATTGACATAAAACAGGTACTCTAACAGCCTTGCAGATGTTGCAAACACACAACTTATTAGTTTCACTATTTAAATTAGCAGAACGAATTGGGTGCCTGGTCAGCGGGTAGGGCAGGCGACCCATGTACAAGGGCTACAGTCCCCGACACAGCGGCCCGGGTTCGATTCCACCCAGCGGCTCATTTGCTGCATGTCATTCCCCCACTCTCCTCCCCACGTTTCTCTGTCTATCTTTGACTGTCACGATAAATAAAGGCGGAAAAGGCCAAAAGTAAATCTTGAAAAAAGCAGAACGAAGCCACCACAAATAAAGTTATTCAAGTCAAATTACTGTATTTTCAATATAGCCACATACAATGAAGGGGAAAAAAATGCAATAATCAGCTTTTTTCAAAATTATGCAGCCTTTGAGCAGAGTTTGGGTTTTAAGTGGGCAGATGGGATTGACTCATTTTGTGGTGTTCATCAATCCATAACTTCTTTTACCCAAGGCGTAGATCCTTGAAACAGGGACCACGTGAGGAGAGCTTCCTCAGATGTGTCTGTGTCAAATTAGAGCTCTCTAGGTACAACGGAGGCGGAACAGGGACCAGTGAAATAGAGGTTTTGACCAATTCACTTTAGTGGGCAGATGGGATTGACTCGCTTTGTAGTATTCATCAAGCCATAACTTCTTTTATCCACGTTGTAGATCCATGAAACCTGGACCAAATTTGGAGACCATCCTCAGATGTGTCTGTGTCAAGTTAGAGTTCTCTAGGTACAACGGATGCTGAATCACAAGGGTTCCAAATGCCATAAGACCAATTTTACTTTAATATCACATTATTTGCAAATTGCTGCACTCCAGGGTTATGAAAAGAAAAAAAACCCTTTTATTTCCAAATAACATGAAAGAAGCAGGGTTTGACGCTATGAGGATAAATGTTGAGAGTTTATATAAACTTTTTCACAGTGGGTTTGTCAGTGCTTACAATGAAGTAGTAATAGATATTTATATGGTTTTGCATTAATAAAAATCAAGTATCTCAGCTGGTCATAAACTAAATTCACTAGAATAACAAGAAAACAAACTCCCGTAACTGATTTCTTCATCATACTTTACGACGCCCCAGTAAATGTCAGTATCTTAATATCATAGTTCACATGCTGTGACAGAGATTGACTTACCAGCAGCTGCAGCACGGGGTTGTTCACCGGTACACCTTTGAACAGGGCCTGGACAGTAACACACATTGACTCGTTAGTACCTGATGCCTGACCTCATCCTGTCCCATCACATCATCATGCAGCTAATGCAAAGTTACAGTCTGCTGGATATTAATGAAGTGGCACTGATTTTGTACCGCCCCTGCAGGTGAACTTTAATGGGTAAACACAAGTGAACTACACACGACCCTGCTGTTGCTGCTTCTATGAACACCAACTATTTGGGACGCAGTGGCCTTAAAACTCTAACCTCGCAGTGCCTGGTTCTATGTCAGAAATGAACCAAGGCTGAGTTTATTTCATCACCATAGAAACTTAACATTGCACTCTTTCTTCCAACAAGAGCAAAGTTGAAACAATTTCATCTGTTATTGTTTACGCAGCTGTTAAAATCACGTTAGCTCACAGTGCTAACAGCCCAAGTAAGGTAGCGCTACGTGGCTGAATAATACCGACTTCTACACGTCGAGTCAAAAGAATAAAAACCGCAAGTCAGTCGCAATAATAGTTGTGCTTACTTCAACCGCCCCCTGTGTGAGTTTTACACTCATTTCGCCTCTGTGAAGTTGTTCTCAAAACCAGCAGACTTCAGCTTTTCTCATGCGTACTTCAAGGCAATGGTATGGCACGTATCGCGAGAGAAGCGACGCAAACGAGACTTTCGATTTGACAGTGGAAAGCTGCGTTAATGTGGAACACTTAGGCCTCCAAAATAAATGAGCAAATTTGATAATGCCACTCAAGATGAGAAAAAAACGCAGAAAAATAAGTATATTCACTTGAGTATTATTCATAGGTAGAAATTTGAGCTACTCTACTTGATAATTTCCATTTTGTTCTACTCTGTGCATCTACTCCACTGAGGAAAATGTGAGTTTCAATCATCTTTCATGCAAAACATATGAGACAATACATTTGTAAAATAAACATTAAGTATAACAAGGGACATTTTGTTATAAATTTAAATCAAAAATGCTATATATGTATATAACAGTGCAATAAAAATAAAATCTGTATAATTTCATATCAAAACATTTGAAGTGCAAACTAATGAAATAGGAACGTACTCTAGCCTTATTTGTAGCTGCAATTAGGAATATAAAAGGCGTCAGATTCTGAATGCAAAATGTGAAAACTAATCAGGCTTAAAAACACAATGCCACCTATCCATGAACCAAGCATTCTGGCTTTGCAATTAACAATTACAAGAAGCATTCACAGCAATGTAAGCAATAGCAACAAATTCTACCTCTAAAATAACTTCACCCTTTCACAACCTCAGGAGAGAGCTTTGTGACAGTGAATTTCAGAAAAAGTTCCACTGTATTTAATTGGTTTATTTTCAGATGAACAAGGGTGACATTTTTCATAACTTTTTAAGTCAGTCTCTGGTAACTGATTAGACCTCTAAAAACTCGTAAAAAATAATTTCCTCCTGCCTTAAGATTGCTGATCTGTAACCCCACGCTGTTGTTTTCTCTAGAATAAGCATATTTATTAAATCCCTGCCTCTTTCGCCACCCACCCTTCCCCACTTGCTGCAGCTGGAGCACACCAGCTCACATATAGCTCTGCTGAAACACAGTAAAACTACTCTTTGTTGCACAATGACAAGTTATAATAATGAGCCATACATGAGCCATGGTGTTGGCTGCTTATTTCATTCATGATATGTCTTCTAGCATATAGAAACACATCACACGAACATAATAACACAGTAAAACTAGAGTCTTTATATTTTGATATATTGGATTTTCATGGACAGCTGTAGGTGTGGAGAGTGTGGGTTTTATTGTGAAAATTATTACCGGAAACGCCTTTCTGATCCGCGCTAACTTGACGGAGGCGCTCTGACAACAGCCTGCGTGGGACTCGCTGCGAGCAGGCGTGAAACAGTTTGAAAACAAACCCAGAAGTGTCCTCCGGTGCTGCTGCGGTTTGGTTGTAGCTCATGATGGATATTCCGTGCGTCCAGTGGCAGGACCACGTTGCACAGAAATGGACCGGACTCGACCCGGAGCTGCAGGAACAGTTTGCATCCCTGCGTGAAATAGATGATGTGTTTCAATGTGCTTTAGGTCTGACAACGTGAGTAGCTAGCTAACTAGTGTAGCACCAGCATCTAAGCCTCATCTGATTAATCTGGCACCACTTACTAAGTGAAAGCACTGGAGCTATAAATTATATGCAAATCTGACTCTGGTGATTAATCCTGAGGGGATAATGAAAGCTCTTGAACCAGTTTTCTGTCATCTACACTATCAAAAGTCTATATATACTCCACGATTCTTTGATTTTGTCCTTAAGTTCACATCTTTAAATGGGATTCTGGTTTAGCTGCAGAGCTCAAAGGGTTTCCTGTGTTTCTGCATGTTCTTTAATTGTTTTCTTTGTGTTTTCCAGTCAAGATGATGTGGACTTTTTGCAGTCTGTTTCTGCTGGATATTCAGTGCAGAAGGACACAGAGGAAGCAGCCAAATGCAGGGAGAGGGGTAACTCCAGCTTCAAGGCTAGAAACTACACTGCAGCCGCTCTGCACTATTCACAGGTGATTTGAAAATGGTGTTGGATTGTTTGATATTAGCCAGAAAATATAGACAAGTCCATACTGATGGATACTAAACACAAATATAAACACAGCATGTAATATTTGATTTAATCCTAGGTACATAACATAAGGATTTGGCATCTCTATAACAAAAGGGCATCATGAAATAACCAAGTAATGCACTATTTTGGAAATGATAATGGTCAAAGTTGCCAGATATTTTGTGGGTCAGGATCAAGCCCATCCAGAGCTGTCTGAATTAGTTTTAGTCGACAAATGGTGGAGCGGTTGACATTTAGGTGCCTGGCTGCAGCCCTTACTGATGTGCCAACATCCAGCCGCCAGCAACCTGTTCTCATCCTCCTCTTGTCATCTGTGGCATCGTGTCATTTAAATTACTGGTAAGCTGCCTTTAAAGGTGGCCTTTTATAGTCACTGGTGATGTAGTGGAGGAGCTCAAAGCATTTCCATTCTGCAGTATTACAACATACTAAATCTTACTCTGGCATACTATATATGACAGTAGTTTAAATACTGGAACAAACCTATTGTCTTTCCTGTGCACAAGTCACTAAATTGAACCCTTTTCTCACCATAACAACAGAAATTACATTTTAAACTTTGCATCTAAGTCAGAAAATAAGCCCATTTGCATGCTGTGTTTATATTTTTGCTCAGTGTAGTAGCAGTTCTGATGCAGTACAATGGTTAGTAAGTACCAAACAGTAAGTATTCATCAGATAGTAGTGTAAAAAATGCACGTACAGCAGTATTCCATAAACGTGGCACTCATCCCAGCCCTAATTAACATGCATCAACACCCAGCTTCTCCGTCTCCTGTCATGACAGGGCATATGTTTCGCTCCCCAAAGTTCGGAGCAGCTGTCGTTGTGCTACGCCAACCGCTCTGCAGCGCTCCACCATCTGCAGCACTACCAGGTGAGACGCTGCCATCTCTAGCAATTAAACGATAAGTTCATCATTAAAACCCGTTTCAACCAGCTCTGCTTAGCTGTTGGCTGAAAACGGGCCTGTAGGTGTTTAACAAATTGTGTCATTACGTGATTAATTTGAACGACACTTGACTGCAGGGATCCCACGGGGAACATTTCTAAAAAAAAAAACGTATGTAATTAGTATCCTCGTGTAGTGTTTTTACTGAAGTCCACACAAATAGACGACGATTTTCGAAAACATACAAGTGATTTTATGATAATGTTGATGAAGCTACTCTAATTCCCCCCTCCTTGTATTCCCCACTATGACGTCTTGGTAATGAGCTGTTCCAAGAATGAGATGTCATGGAGAGATTACTGTACATATTCAGGTACTTCTGGAACCAGTGACTCATCTTCCATAATGGCTTATTTAATTGAAGTCTATTGTCGTCATGATTAGCTGATCGACTCAGCCTTGTTCCACTAATTTCTTCTCATGTAATAAACCGAGTCAGACGCAGCCATTTATGTGTTATTTGTGCAACTTGGACACGATGACGCCACACACGACTTCTGAAATGTGAAGGGTAATCAGTGATTAAGTGGCCTTTAGAAGCTTATATGAATGCAAATGTCACAGTGTTTACTCCTCCCTTCAGATTTCAAAGACCTGGCTCAGTAGTATAAAGTAATGGAGCAGGTGTACTCAGTTCCTGTATTTTGGTAGAATATTGGGTACTTTTACTTGAGTATTTCTATGTAATGCTGCTTTATACTTCCACTCCACTACATTCCACAGAGAAACATTCTACTTTATTCTCCACTACATTTGTCTGACAGCTTCAGTTACTTTTAACTATTTTACACAATGGGTATTAGAACAAGCCTTTAAAACACATGCAATGTTCAAATGACCCAATAGCTCACCAGAAATCAAAGATTACAGAGAAAGCTCATAACCTGAAAAAACATTAGTGGATCAGAACTTTGTTTTTCTTCTTTGCTGCCCCGTGAATCATCTCGACCCATCAGATTTATCTGCTGTTCCTTTATAAAAGCGAATGTAAAGTAGTTCAAACCTGCAGCAGCTACAACAGTAACATGCTGCTGACACACACATGCTTCACCATATATAACACTGGGTCACAAAAAAATATTTTTTTGAAGGTGTCTAGGATTTTATAAACTGATTTAGGACATTTTTGCAACGCTGAATCCAAAAATGACATCTGCTTTTCTGTATCAGGTCAGGTTTTTATGCCAACTCGATTAAAAAAAAATCGATTGTGCCACTAAATCGATTACATTTTTTGACATTAGTGATTGATTTATTTTAGTATTTTTCACATAAAATCGGATTTTAGAGGAAAAATTTTATTTTCAAATCCTTTCCATAAGCTAAATGATCCAAAAGTTGATGAGCATAAACTTTTGGAAGGTAAATACAAGTAAACTGCATGTTTCATCAGCATTGCTCAAAATTCAGGGCTTGAACTTGCGCTTCTTGGAACTCCTGGAATGATCAGCAGCAGGTATATCTCTCTTCAGAGTCCAGCAGTAATCAGCCATCATGACTTGCTTTCCAGCGTCCCTGATACCTGGTCTCCATCTCTTTCTGATAAAATCACGTGACTCTAATGTGTTGTTCAGAAACCAGGGGATAAACTTTCTGTCTAAATTTAATTCACCTGCAAATGTTTATAGTATCAACTTGTTAAGGTTTCAGAATTTGTTAATTTCAGGAAATAGAAAAATAATTTTGTATGATACAAAGCATAGATACCCACACATGTACATAAAAATGTAAAAAAAAACAGTGCATTTGGTGACAAATCAAAATTTTGACTTCATTGAGCAAAACCAATGTAATATTTGGATTCAGAACATTGCAATTGTCCAAAATCAGCTAAAAAACTGTGACACCAAAATGGGTGTAGACCAGTGTAATCTGATATCATATGTGATAATCTACCAGTCACAGTGACTGAACCAGTGCTTTTACTTTATTACTTTAGCTACATTTGGCTGATAATACTCATGTAAGTTTCCTTCAGTTGGGTTTTCCATGCAAAAAATCTACTTTAATTGCAATCATCTCAACCTCGTTTAACAATCCAGCTTATTTTGTGAGAGTAGGAAAGTTCACACAGTGGCCATAGCTAAGCCAAGAAAACCTAATGTCCTGCAGTCATTTATTTTTAAGGAAAACATCTTTAACTACCTACCTTTTTTATGGCAGAGAAGCTCACTTTCCATGCAAAACCTTGTAACAGCTTATGACTCGTCCTGGCTCATCTGTACGAGCTGTAGGACGTCTTCACAGCATTCTGTAGTGTCCAACAGAAATGAATTCTTTCTCAGCCTTCTCATCTCAGCGTCTCCCAGTTTTGGCTTATATAAGCTACAACACAGACTTAATCAGTTTGTAAGTCGGTCATGTTTATGGTTTTGCTCACAATCTGTTTCTGTTTTCTACAGGAATGCCTCGATGACATTGACAAAGCCCTGAAGAGTGGCTATCCCTCTCATCTGGTACACAAACTGCAGGACCGTCGCACGCTGTGCCTTGAACGCCTCTTTGTAAAGGCAAAAGAGGAAGATCATAGTGCTGCCTCAAAGAATCCTGAAGGTTCAGGCAGAGTAAAAGCACCATCTGTTGGGCCTCTCATATTTGGGATTTGTCCTCAAGCTGCTGTTGGCTCCAGCGTGGAAAAAGGTCGACACCTGGTGGCGACAGAGAGAATAGTAGCTGGGCAGGTGATCCTCATGGACAGGCCGTACAGCTGTGTCCTCATACCGGGGATGGAGGAGGCGAGAGGAAAAGGAGGAAGGCAGGACATGGAGAGGGAAGTGTTGTTTGGAACCGAGTGCAGACGCTGTCACCGGTGTTTGGCTGAAACACTGTGTCCTGTGCCATGTAAGGGATGCAGCTACAGCCGATACTGTTCAACCAGCTGCCAGCAGGAAGCCTGGGAGGAACATCACCGCTGGGAGTGTCCGCTGGGAGCGGATCTGATGGCGATGGGTGTGATTTCACAGCTTGCTCTGAGGGTAACGCTAAAGGCAGGATTAAATGGCGTCCAAATGGCAAGAGAGCCAATCAGAGGCGAGCACAAGAAGTCAGAGCCAAGCTGTGTTAATCATGACTCCAGTGATTCCAATCAATGTCATTCAGATCAGCCTGATTCTTCTATTTCATACTACGGGGACTCTTACCTCAGTGTGTTTCACTTACTGCACCACATAAATCAGCACGGCCCAAGACTGTGCTTCCTGTCTGCTGTCACTGCAGCAACACTCTACCTGAAGCTCAGCAAAGCAGGACCTCCACCTGCATCCTGGTGCCTTAGTAAACCCTCAGCTACAAGCAGCCAATCAGAGCACGGACCAGACGAGGAGGGAGGTAATGCAGATTGGGACTCAGAGCTGTGGCTGCTGGGAAGTGCAGTTCTGCGGCACCTCCTGCAGCTGAGGTGTAACGCCCAGGCGATCGTCACGCTGCAAGATACAGGTGACTCTGTCACAGATTTCACAAGTGTTAACACCATGTTTCAAATTGAGCTTTGTCACAATATACAACTGTAACAGCGTCTCAGAGTCAGAAACATCAAAGCAGAGTGTTCCCTCTTTTGATCTCAAGTGTCACATCAATGAAGCGTTTCAGTGCATCAGGCGGAAAAAGAAGGATGACACAACTACAGATGATTCTACAGGCATGGAAATATATATATATATATATATATATATATATATATATATATATATATATATATATATATATATACCAGCTCATAGTGTGACAAGACAACAAAATACTTTCAGAGGAAGATTTGCACTGTTATGACTTTGCAGAGTTGTATTTTTTCCGTCTAGCTCTGTAACATAACCATAGTTATACAACCAAGTGTAAAATGAGGGAGAATGAAGTTATGAAAAGGAATTTCATCCGTCTGCTTTTGAAGTCTGCAACTAATCATTATTTTGATTTTGATGTTAATTATTGTGCTGATCATTCATTATTAAGTCTTTAAAATGTCAGATAATGATGCTGGGGGTAACCTGACAGACTAGTGGCTTGGGCACATACTTTCTGAAAAGAAAAAAGAAAAAAAGCAGAGAAAAAAAAACATCTGGGAAAAAAAAAAAAAGCTTTCGGAACCCAAGCTGACATATTTAAACTGTTTGTTGTGTCTGTCTAGCATTTCACAAACTTTAACATAAAAGAAGTCAGAAGAAGTGAGTTTGGTGTATTTTTGCTTAGAAATGACTTTCAACCACTTATCTAAGTGTTGTTGATTACTTTTTCTAACTGATTCAGCTCTACAGCAATTGTAGCCATGCTCACACTGCAGCACAGTCCACTATAGAGGAGGCGCATTTTTAATAGCTGCACCTTCAGCTATGAATTTGTTTCAGTCACGCAATGGGCTTTAGTTTCTGTTTTGTTTGCCTCTCACAGGAGCAGCAAACTCGCCGGTGCAGTCAAGCCGGGAAATTCGCATTGCCACGGCCATGTTCCCAACTCTGAGTCTCCTCAATCACTCCTGCTGTCCCAACACCAGCCTGGTGTTCAGCACTGGAACGAGTGCTGATCCCTGTGGTTCGGATGTTTCTGCAGACGTCACTGAGAGCGTAGCTGAGTATAAACATGAGGCCCGTGGAGTCACTGTTACAGTCAGAGCGGCCAAAGTTATCTCTCCTGGACAAGAGATCCTACACTGCTATGGTGAGATATGAATACGTTTGTTATATTAACACCTGCATAGATCAGAATCATTTTGATTTGAGAACAATGGGTGCAAAATTTGCTGCAAGGTGGCACGGTGGTTAGCACACCCAGGACCTTTCTGCGTGGAGTTTGCATGTTCTCCCCATGCAGCGTGGGTTCTCTCTGGGTTCTCCAGCTTCCTCCCACACAGTTCAAAAACATGCTGAAGTTAACTGGTGATTCTAAATTGTCCGTAGGTGTGAGTGTGTTTGGTTGTCTGTCTCTAAGTGTAGCCCTGTGATAGACTGGTGACCTGTCCAGGGTGTCTCCTGCCTTCACCCTAAGTCAGCTGGGATAGACTCCAGCCCCCCACGACCCCAGTGAGGATTAAGTCGTATATAGATGATGGATGGGTGCAAAATTCTAACTTTTTATGGAGGATTTGAAATCTCTTAGTGACTGAAATTAAAGGTTTATCTTTGTAAAAACTGTGCAGATAATTTTGTCAAAAAAGAAATCCCTAAAACATAATCACAACATTGACATCAAGGGATTATTCAGCAGGACAGCACTTTCCACTGAAATGAGGTCATTTGCAGTGTGGTTCTGTAACCATCTCATCTTGATTTACACATAACTTATGCTGCTGTAACCAACCATTCACATCTTTCTCCCTCAGGTCCTCATAGCAGCAGGATGGTGACCCAAGAACGCCGGCGTCTCCTGCATGACCAGTACTATTTCCTGTGTCAGTGTGAGGCCTGCAGCGTACAGCAGCAGCAGGAGGAGGAGGTGGAGGTGGAGGATGGAGGACAGCAGTGGCCGGGTGCTGGAGGCGATCCACAGGAGTCTGGACTCCTGTGCTGCAAGTGCAAAGGTTATCTCAAAGTACGTGATCACTGGTGCTTTAACAATATTTTTAAACAAGTAGTCATGATTAATTGTGCTGTACATTTGTGAAATTGTGCTTTGAGATTTGAAACATTTTGTGTGATTTTCAGAAAAGCGGCAACAAGAGCGAAACTATATTTTTCTGTTTGCGGTCATCCTGCGGTCATCGCATGTCTTTGTCTGAGGTGAGCCGCGGGCTGCAGGAGATCAGGGTGGACCTGGAGAAAGCCGTGGCACTCATGGAGAGAGACAGACCAGGTGCTTGTAGAAAAAAATACATCGAACTGTTGATAGAATATGCATATACTGTAATGTATCACCGTCATCTCCATGTTATTGTTCTGCTCTCGTCTCCTTCAGGTGAGGCCATGAAACTGCTGAAAAGGACTCAGTGTCAGTCTGGACTGATCCTCGCAGAGAAACATCCGCTACAGGGGGAGCTGGCTGACGCTACAGCCAGAGCGTACGCTACAATGGGTGAGAACAATGATGTATTCACTCCTTTAAGTACATTTACCTTCACTACGAGAGTTAGTGGGTTGTGTTTGAGCTCTGTTCTGTTTATCTTCGTATATGCTCATGAAAACGAGGTTAGCCTTCTATTGATCCCTACTAACAATGCCACCTGAAGGTAAACATGCATCTCCACCAAGCAGAAGGGACAGTAAGTCCGTCTGTTGTTCATTTTTTTGTCCTTTTTGTAGACAAGAGCTACGTCCTGAGAAATATAGCACCTTACATAACATGTACATGAAACATTTCTAAACCATGAATAAACAAAACAGTAAATGGCATTAATGGACATTTCTCCTGACTGGTTGAGCATGTTCACGCTAACTTCAAGGAAGGTCTGGTTCTAAAACACAGTGCACTCATTTTTTAAGGGTTCACCTAGTGATGGGTCAGACTAGTTAAATTCATTACAGCTCTTTTTGTAATAATGTATTTTAAGATATGTTCTTCTATCACTAACTTTATATGTCTTTGTGCAGAAAATATAAACATTATTTTTCCAAGCAATAATGTGGCAGCTGAAGGAATATTTTTAAGCAAGAAATAACCAAAAACAGGCACAGCAGCAGCAATTTAATAGAAGAGCAGTACTAAGAGCTGGCGAACAAGCAGAGTGATGATTGGCAGCTTGTTGTTGTGATCATCAGCTAGATATGCAGCCAAATCCAGGAAACCAATAACAGAATTCTCAGACACCCCGGGGAGTCAAATAAATCATTATGACCCTTAGCTCTGCATCGTCAAGACTGGAGGTTTTTATTTTGCAGTCTTCTTACTGCTTTGTTTCTTTTCTGCTGTATCTGCAGGTGACTGGAAAAATGCAGCATCCTATCTGGAGCGAAGCGCTGTAGCTATTGGCTCCCAGTATGGAGAAGACAGCATTGAACTGGGTCGACAACTCTTCAAATTAGCTCAGCTGCACTTCAACGGGTGAGTAAGGTGTACAAACACTAAAGAAACTTCAAGCTCAACATCTGGTGTTATACGTGAAGCCACGTCGCAGCTGTGATTGCTTAAACTTTGAACACTACATTTAATACGCTGAAAAGCTCCACCTGAATCTTTGCGGTTCATCCATCTACCCGTCACTTATACCCATTTTATCCAGTAGAGGGGTCAGGGAGAGGCTCGTAACTTTCGCAAGTTTTATAGTTTTGACTGACGTTGTTAGCAGAAATAACAGCGCTGTGTTTTTTCCCGTCTCCTTCACTCAGCGGCGCCAGAGGCCCGGTCCTCTCTGTCATCCCCAAGGTCAGACGACTCCTCTGCCTTCACTGTGGCCCTCACTGCCATGAATTACAGGAGCTGAAGGCCATGGAGGACTGCCTACGGGGGTAGTTTTAAATAAACACAGCAGTGGACATTTGCAAAATATAATTACACTTTTGTACTCCTGATTAAAATATGTGACATTTTCTGATTGTGGGCCTTTTATGTTATTGTTTTAGAAGCGACGTGTACATCACAGCTACCAAATGTTCACAGCTATAGATACAGTCCATAGGTGGCTCTCTGACCTCTTGGTGTCAGACTGTATCCATCAATAATTTCAATTTCATGCTTCAGTGGTGGACTTGCAGTGTGAGGCAACCTATCCACGAGGTACTTCCAGGTCCAATTGTACTCCTGTAAGCGAAACAGGAGTAAATGTTTGTTTTAAATGATTGTGGATTTTTCCGCCTAACAAGAAAATATGTAAACTGTAGCAAGTTAATCAGTCTATAAAATCTGCAAATACCCTCAGCTCCTACATATAGGTAGCCTTCTGACCTTTAGATGGCAGCAGTTATTCACTGACTAATTCAATTTCATGCTTGAATGGCTGGAAAGCAAGATGTAGCTTTGACTCTTGAACCTACAGTGTACACCCCAAAGTCCTCCAAGACCTTCAGGTCCTCATATGTCAGCTCTTTTACAGCACTAATGTTTTGTTCCTCTCTCGACATGTAATCAATTAGTAACCCTGACTGTGTGTTGAGGATAAACGAGGTGCAAACACTAGCGTGCCACATAAGTAGTTAAAAAATAAGGGGTCAGAAAACTGTATGTGCTGCTGTAAAGGTTAATTCATTTTTAGTGAGGAGAGAAAGCTCATGTTGAGCAAAGACAATAAAGTCTTGATTCCATCTGGACGTCCTGAGGCGTCTGCCAGTTAAACATCACCAGTATCTGGAGGACAGCCAATCCGCCAGATGTGTGCGTACAAGTCAAGGTCAAGACAAAAAACTCAGAGGCAGCTGGAGAAAGCAGCTGATGAGCGAACTGAAAAAGCTCCATGGGGCAGATATCTGCTGATTATTGTGACGAGGAGGTTGTCGCAGGAGGGAAGAAAGTAAAGCCCTTCATGATTTGCTGGGGCTGAACTGAGGTCAACTTTGACTCAGAAGAACAGACACAATCACAGGGATTATTCAAGTGGGACTTTACTTTGCTTTGTCTTTGTTGAAACTCGGGACACTGAGGTTAGGGCAGCAAATACAAACTTTTATCATTTATCGATCTGCTGATTGAGCGTTTGTTCTATGAAACATCACAAAACAATCCAAAAAACTTCCACCACAATATCCTATCATGAAAAATGTCCATCGCAATATAAGGGAGCCCAGACTGACATCAATAATGTCTTGTTTTATCTGAGCAGCTGTCCAAAACCCCCAAATATTCTGTTTACTACAGTGTACAACCAAAAAAGCAACAGATTCTCACAGTCTGGGAGTTCATAACCACCAAATGTATCATCAGTTTAGCAACTGATGAAGTGACTAATCATTGCGACTAAATGAAATGACCCACAAGCTTGAAGCTACACACTTATTCATTTATATATTATCACATATAAATGTATCATCCAACTGAAAATCAGTGCTCCAAACAGAAAACTGCATCTTTGAAATCAATTATCTATTATCACAAATTATTTTATTTTGTGTAACTAATAATATTTTGTCATACATCAGAAGTCCAAACTGTGTGGCCTTAATGAATGTTCAATCACTTGTTAAATGTAAAACAATATGCTCAATGTTTTTGCAAAACAAACCCAATACCAAGCACACATCCATCCATTATCTATACACCGCTTAATCCTCACGAGGGTCGCGGGGGGGCTGGAGCCGACTCAGGGCAAAGGCAGGGGACACCCTGGACAGGTCGCCAGTCCATCGCAGGGCCACACTTAGAGACAGACAACCAAGCACACTCACATTCACACCTATGGACAATTTAGAATCACCAATTAACCTCAACATGTTTTTGGACTTGTGGGAGGAAGCTGGAGAACCCGGAGAGAACCCACGCTGCACGGGGAGAACATGCAAACTCCACGCAGAAAGATCCAGGTGCCCCCACCGGGACGCGAACCGGCCCACCTTGCAGCCCCAAAGCACACATCAGGATGCAAAATTAAACAGCAACAGTAGCTTGATATCATAACAAGAAACTTTCTCATCGCACAAATCAGAGAACTGGCTGAAATACAGTTTGTAGCCACTCCACTGACAAATCAGTTTTTATTTTCACTACGTCATCAAATGTCTCTATGGAAATGCTGACAACTTGTCTTTTTGTACATATTCTCCTCTTCTGAGCAACTGTGTATTTACACAAATGTTAACATGAAGCGTCAGATCATGTTTTCTTAACACAGAAGCATTGCTGATTGTAGCTGAAAATGCACAAACGCAGATGTAGCGTACACAAAGAGAAACTGATACAGAACACAATCAGAGATAAACACTATTGCAGCCTGACATCCCCAACACAGAGCTAATGAAAATAGAGCTGTCATATTAATCCTAGAAAACCACATCTGAATGTTAAAATCCATTAATATTACTTTATATTACCCTGAAGAAAGATCGTTTTAAAAACGGGTCAAATTTCTCATCTTTTTATGCAAAGATATATCATCAAATACCTCAGGCTCTCATTGCTGTTTCTGTGTTTACATTCCCCATGTCTCAGGGAAAAAAAAGTCTGTACATCCCTGCTTGTTCTATAACTTCTGAGCAATTTCTTTTTGTTTGTTTGCTTCATCCTCCTGTATCTCACAGCTAAGCCTTGTGTGCTTCTATATCAGTCAGGAGCTGAGGGAGAAATGTGAGCTCATGTTCAAAAGGATTCACATGAGTAAACCAAATATTGAGAGATAGGGAGGGAGAAGCAGCACGAGAAAGACAAACAGTGCCAGCACGAATCAGTCTGCAGACATCTCCTGGCTGCTGCAGTATCAGATCGCTGATTCCTTATTCGACTGTCCAGTGCCATTTGAGGCCATTTCCACTGGCTGTGATCTCGGGCTTATCAGATGTCTTTGTTATACATAATGCAATCAAAAATGGCCAGACCGCAAACAAAAAGCTGTGGCGTGTGTATTCTGTAACAAGGCCTGCGTCAATATCTGTAACACAGACCGACAGAGTTACTACCAGCTTAGTTGTCCTGACTCAACTCGTGTGCTGTAAGCCGCCTGTTATCAACATTACAACCTCCCCAGCATCAATTATACACACAGTTACCATAACAATGAACTGAGACCTCCAGTCGGAAGGTGTGGCTGGAATGGTAAAGTGAAAGAAAAGACCAGCACGCTGACTGTGAAGTCACTGCCGGGGAACACATTGTAAACACTTGTTAGTGGTACAATCACCAACACATCACCTGCTGCTTCAATCACAACTGACCTTTTTCACAGCACACACACAGAGACACTGCGGTTTACTGTCATGACTCACTGGGACATGCAAAGTCCCTTTCTGGTCATTGAATAAGCCCCTAAAAACTCTAACATCTGTACATCAGCATTACATATTCAGCATTTTTTTTCCATAAAAATAAACCTTTTCTGATTTAAAAAGCCTTGGATGTAACTCTACACTGTTGCTTCTTCAAGAATATGTAGATCACCTCTCTCATCACCCAGCTCTCGCCACTCGCTGCAGCTCCAGCACACCAGTTCACCTACAACTCTACAACACTGTAAACAACTCAACACTACAACACTGTAAAACTGCTCTATACTGCACCACCTTGTAAGTTGACAGGATTGGTTCCTTTTAAATATGAAACCCCAGAAGTCTGAACCGGCATTTTTGTGACACATCATTGGTTCACTGCGGATTCAAGGTTGAAGTGATAAACTGTGACACCGACTACTTATTTTGTGCACGATATGTCTTCTAGTATATAAAAAACCTCATATGGACGAGGTCACAACCTTGACTTTTACTGGAGGGGATCTGTAATAGAGCTGAAGCATTATTAAAACAGACGTACTTCCTCTACTGGGGCAAAGTAAAAGGTCTACTGTGAAAAAGTTCGATTTCACAAACAGTAAAGACATACCAGATGGGTGGCAAATTAGAAAAAAAAATTAAATAAAAATAAAACTCAAGTATTTTAGTATGATGTTGGGCCACCACAACAGCTTCAGTCCACCTTGGCACGCAATCTCCAAGTTTCTGGAACTCTACTGGAGGGATGAAACACCACCTTCTAACAGATATACCTTCATTTGGTGTTTTAATGATGGTGGTGTAGAGCGCTGTCTAACATTTTAGTTAAAATTCTCCTATCGGTGTTCAGTTTGGTTGAGATCTGGTGACTGTGAAGGCCACAGTATATGATGCACATCATTTTTATACATAAGTGTATTCATCCCTATGGATCAGCACATTATCATTCTGAAAGAGACCACTCCATTGAGGTCAGAAATGTCTCGTCATGGGATAAAGGTTCTGAGGTGACTTAGAACAACTTTGTATTGATTCTTACTAAGAGGACAAGGAGACCCAAACCGTGCCAGCAAAATGAAACAGTAAAACAGAGCCACCAGATCCCTTCACTACAGAGGTCAAGGGTTTAGGTTTTTCCTTGAGTTTGTCACTGTTTTGTACATACACAGTATAAAACAGCTGCGTTTTTTTTTGTTTGTTTGGTTGTTTGTTTTAATCACAAACCAATCCAACCTGAAACTCATTCAACTTCTGCCAATAGCTTAGTATTTGGACTGGATTAGCACCAGAATCAGACTTTAAAGGCATATCCCAGCAGTTTTGTATAAGTCTTCCTGGGAAGGTTTTAAAAAAATAAATAATAATAATTGATTAGATTTATATAACGCTTTTCTAACTCAAGGAGTAACTCAAAGTACATACACTATCAATTATTCATTCACACATATTCATCCAAGTGGTGGTAGCTATGATTGTAGCCACAGCTGCCCTGGGACAGACTGACAGAGGCATGGCTGCCATTCTGCGCCTACGGTCTCCGACCACCACCTCAAACAATCCATTCATTCACATTCACACCAGGCAAGGTGGGTGAAGTGTCTTGCCCAAGGACATAATGATCATGACACAGGTTACAGGGCGGAATCAAACCGCCGACCTTCCGATCATCGACCGACCCGCTCTACCA